CCCCAAGTCTTTTCCTACCTCTTGAATTCCTCAACCCAAGTCCAGGAGAAGCAGTCACTTAACTTTTAGAATTTAACAACCACAGGACTTCTGTAATGAGCTAATGCTCATTATTTTGCAAACCTCCAACATCTTCATGTAGGATATGTAAACTTCATTCATTATTTCCACTTTTTTTTTTTTTAAGATTTTATTTATTTATTTGACAGACAGAGATCACTAGTAGGCAGAGAGGCAGGCAGAGAGAGAGAAGGAAGCAGGCTCCCTGCTGAACAGAAAGCCTGATGTGGGGCTCGATCCCAGGACCCTGGGGTCACGACCGAGCTGAAAGCAGAGGCTTTAACCCACTGAGCCACCCAAGCACCCCATTATTTCCACTTTTTAATGTCTTGGGGCTATACCTAGGTTGCTAAATTGGGGAATACTAATTCCTGAGGGATATTTGATTTTAGGCCATGAAAAATTTCCCACTGCTATTTGATAAATTATATTGTTTCACCATCACAACTAACTTAAAAGTTATGTAAATTATCCAGATGAACAAAAACAATTTACTATTATAACATTGTTAAATGAATTAGATAGCAATGACTACAGCTTCCCAATCGCAGTTTGAGACAGATAAATTTATACTTTATTGATAGCAGGAGCAGAAAGCCCTAATCACTAAACGCCGGCACAGTCTGGTTTCTGTAGGGTAATGACCCATCTCTCTATTCATAACAATCTCATTCATCATAATTCACATTAAAAAAAACAAAAAAGAACCCTAGTCAAGCTAATGGAGGAAACGTGTGAAAAGTGATTGGCTGGGTAAAACTCTGTATGCAGCTGGAGGGTCCTAATTGATTGTATTGTGCTGCAACTAAGCCTTCTGCCTAGTACAACAGATCTTTATCTAACTGCATTTCAATTGATTTTCACTGATAGTCTTCTTTCTTATGTCTAAGGCTTAAAGTACTAAACTAATAAAAGGATAAAAGACTTTGTAATACAGATTTCAAAATACAATGTCCAAGCAGGACTTCCAAGGAATAAGATGGCAGACTGGGTGTGTACAGCTCACCAAACAAACCAATGCCAGAACCTGGGAATTGGGGAGGTAATTTTTTTTTTTTTAATGTTTAGGATTTGAGTCTCTATTTTAGAGTCCAAAAGCAAAACACTAACCCAAACATTCAAAGATACAGTACCTAATGTTCATCTTGTCATAGGATGTAGAAATGTAAGACAAAAGATTACCCATTTAGTAGCTATTACATGTGTTCTCAATATACTCATTTTATTGGTTTAGTACAGAATCAAAATGCCTTGGATTTAGTTTACTCATTAAAAATAGTGATGGGTTAGGGCACCTGGGTGGCTCAGCTGGTTAAGCATCTGCCTTCAACTCAGGTCATGATCCCAGGGTCCTGGGATCGAGCCCTGCATCAAGCCCTGAGTTTTACGTTGGGCTCCCTGCTCGAGCAGGAGTCTGCTTCTCCCTCTGTCCCTCCCCACTGCTCATGCTCTCTCTCACTCTCACACTCCTCTCTCTCTCTCTCTCTCACACAAATAAATAAAATCTTTTAAAAAATAAAATTAAAATAGTGATGGGTTTGGAAAGAAGGAAAGTACGATGGCTAGATAATGTTTAACTTCCAGGTGAAAAACCTGGATTAACTAAAACACTAGATTAATTGAAACACTAAATCAAAAATCTAAAAATGGCCAAACAACCCACCCCTCAAATAGCATTGTTGAACAGAATTTAGAATGAGGATATACACTGCCATCCTTGAAATTGTAACAGTTTGACCTACAATAAACTGTGCATATTTAAAGTACACAATTTGATGTTTTGACGTATGTATAACCTATGAAACCATCACCACAATCAAGATACTGAACATACTCATCTTTGCCAAAGATTTCCTTATGCCCCTTTGTGATCATCTCTCCCCTCACCCCATCTACATACCCAGGAAACCATTCATTGGTTTTATAGTACCATAAATTTGTTAGCATTTTCATTTTATATAAATGAAACCATACAGTATGCATTTGTGTGGTCTGGTTCCTTTTATTTATTTGAGATCCAACCACGCTGCTACATTTATCAAAAAAATCCCTTCCTTTTTATTGCTGCATAGTATTCCATTTTATGGATGAACAACAATTTGTTTACTCACTGACTTGATGGACATTTGCATATCCTCTGCAGTTCTTAGCTACCACAAATATAGCCACTGTTAAATCTTGATGTATGAGTCTTTGGGTGGACACATACTTTCATTTCTCTTGGTTAAATACTTAGGAGTGGAATGTCTAGGACATATGGTAAGTATATGTTTAATCTTTCAAGGAACTGTCAAATTGTTTTCCAAAGTGTTTCTATGATTCTACCTTTCCAATAATAGTGTATGTGAGCTCTAGTTGCTCTATGTTCTTTCCTAAATTTGGTATGGTCAGTAGTTTTCAATATGAGACAAGCTACTAAGTATGTAGTGGTACCTCATGGTTTTAATTCACAGTTCTCTAATGACTACTGATGTTGATCTTCTTTGCATGTGCTTATTTGCCATCCTCATTTCTTCTTCAGTGAAATCTGTTCAGATCACTTGCCCAATTTTTCTTTGGTGGTTTTCTTGTTATTGAGTTTTGAGTTTTTATATATTTACATTTTCTTTTATCATATATGTGATTTGAAAATATTTTCTCCTAATGTATGGCTTTCATTAATGTCTTCTCCTCATATGTGGCATTCCATTTAACAGTATCATTATAAGAACTGAGGTTCTTAATTTTGATGTTTAATTTATCAATTTTTTTCTGTTATGCACCATACTTTCAGTGTAAAAAGCTAAGAAATTAGACTTATATTGATTTTCTCTATTGTTTTTCTGTTTTCATTTATTTGACTTACACTTTTATCCTTATTCTAGTTTATCAAGATGGGAACTGAGATGATTGAGTTGAGATCTTTCTTATTTCCTAACATAGCCATTTAGTGCTATACATTTTCCTCTAAGTACTGCTTTAGTACATCCCACAAATTTTGATATGCTGTGTCTTAATTTTCACCCAGTTCAAAATAGTTTCTAATTTTTAAATTTCTTCTTAGACTCATTAGTTTAGAAGTGTTAGTTTCCAAATATTTGAATGTTCTTCCAAATATTGTATGGTTATTGATTTCTAACTTACTGCATTGTGGTCAGAGAACATACTTTGTATGATTTAAATTCTTTAAATTTATTGAGGCTTGCTTTATGGTTCAGAATATGGGTTATCATAGTAAATATTCTGTATGCCTTGAAAAGAAGGTGGTTCAGCTGGTGGTGGTGAAAGAGACATATACCTGTGTAGAGATAGATATCAATTAGACTAAGTTGGCCATTAGTGTTACTCAAGTCTTCCAGGTCCTTCCATGTCTGTCTATCCCTCTCTCAATTACTGAGAGAGGGATACTGAAATCCCCAACTATAATTCTGTGTTTGCCTAATTTTGCTTACAGTTCATTTTTGTTTCATAGGTTTTAAAGCTCTTGTAATGAGGCACATAAATATTTAGAATTGATAGATCCTCTTCATGAATTAATACCATTGTACTATGAATATTCCCTTATTCTGTACTAATATTCTTTCTTTTGGAGTCTACTTTGTCTATTAATAGAAACTTTGCTGTTTTCTTTTGATTAGTGTTAACGTAGTATATTGTTACTTCCACACCTTTACTTTTATCCTATTTATGTCTTTATATTTAAGTGGGTTTCTTTTTTTTTTCTTATTTATTTATTTATTTATTTATTTGACAGAGATTACAAGTAGACAGAGAGGCAGGCAGAGAGAGAGGAGGAAGCAGGCTCCCTGCTGAGCACGGAGCCCGATGTGGGTCTCGATCCCAGGACTCTGAGATCATGACCTGAGCAGAAGGCAGAGGCTTTAACCCCACTGAGCCACCCAGGCACCCCTTAAGTGGGTTTCTTATAGGTAGCATATAGTGGAATCTTCTTTTATCCAAGTTCATAATTTATGTCTTTTAATTGAGTATTAGGCCACTTATACTTAATGAGATTTTGTTTTAAATCAACTACATTGCTATATGTTTTCTATTTGCACATATGGCTTTTGTTTCCTTTTTTTTTTTCTTCCTCTCTCTTCTTTTGGATTGAATATTTTTATGATTCCTTTTATCTCATTTGTTGCCTTATCAGCTATATAAATCCTTGGTACTTCAGTGGTTACTTTAGGGTTTATATCATATATTTGTACTTATCAAAGTTTGCCCTTAAGGAATATTACAACACATCATATATAGTATAAAAAGCTTACAATGTTTTTCTCTTTATCACTGGCTCTAAGTAATTTGATTATGATGTGCTTTTAAGCTTTGTTAGGCAGGCCTGGAACAGTCTAGGAAAATACTATAGGAAAAATTCTGCCCCACTGTGGAGACAAAAACCCTTCTGAGTATTCTCCCCATTTGCCTATAAATGATAAGACTTCCCACTGTGGCTGGTGGGAACAGAAGCTTCTTTGCAGTCCTGTGTGAGTTCCAGTGAATTATTCCCTTTTTAGGAGGTTCCTTCCTGGGCCTTGGGTAGCTTCCTCATGTGTCAAGCAGGACTCAGCTAAAGGCTAAAGATCTCTGCAGATTTTTTGAGTTTTCTCTCTGTGTAGCTCTCTTGTTCTCTGCCCTGTGCATAACATAAACCTTGGCCTCCCCAAACTCCCAGCTCATTTCTTCTACTTAGAGAGACTGCTGTGCTCTACCTAGATCTACCCCTCCCTAGAATATGTATTGGCAATGAGCCAGTATAATTGTGAGACTCACTTCATTTGTTTTCCATCTCTTGGGGATCACTGTCTTTAACTACCTGATATCCAGTATCTTGAAAGCCACTGTATCATCTAATTGTCCAGTCTGTTTCAGATGCAAAGGTAAGTCTGGTACCTCCACTCATTGAAAGCCTTATAAAATTCGATGCAGGGAGTATCCAATTAATACTCAGAAAATGAATGTTAATTATTTCACCTTTATTAAAATTAACTTACAGAAATTGAAAGGAACATAATCTATTTTAAACGACATTAGTAAAAAGTTTTCCAATATCCACAAATATCCTTAACTTCAAAAAATGCCAATTCATAATCTTATCACCAATACCACTCTCTGCTTCTCAAATGGTCTTTAACATCTGTATAACAAATGAAAAAATATACTGTTTTTTCTAATTTTGTGTATACCTATGGAGGTTGATGTTGAGAATTTCTATAAAGTACACTAAGAAATCCTTATACTAAAGAATCCTATCTCATAGTACAGTTAGCTTAGCCACAGGCAGAACCCCAAACCAAGTTATTATACAAAGGACTGGACACACAAAATGTTATCTTCATTCTGGATTTCATAAAAACTGTTCAGTTTAAAGGGATTTACCATTTTGCTTCATGTGAAATATTTAAAAAGTCAGTTAAAAGTTTTTGGTTTTGGTTTTTTTTTTTTTTGCACTTTATAGTCAAAACAACCTATGGTATTGTCTAAACACAGGAATGAAATGGTTATTAGAATTATTGAGAAAATACGTGTCTTGATTATAAGGTCTTAAAAATTACCATGAAATACATTCCAACTTTTAATAATGTATTAGCTGAGAGCACAATGAGAATCCTTGCATTCTGGTCCTTAAAACAGATGACGTTTTAGATAATTAGGTTTAGAACAGGACCCTGTGTGATGTGTCCGTGGATGAGGACACATTTATTAACACACGCATCTTGAGGGGTGAGATTTTCTATTTGTAGGCACTAGAAAACTAGGCAAAATGACTAGAAGTTAGCTTACACTACTGTAGATCTTTCAACATCCTATATCACTCTATGGCATTACTGAAGTGAACATAAGTCATTTCAAAACTTTACTATATTGTAATTAGAATATAAGGTATGAGAAGTCATATTTACAATGACTATAAGCCCTCAGAGGAAGTTAATGAACTGAGGCTGACCTTGATCATTGACTCAGATCCTGCAGCACAGGGCAGTACCTGCTCCCTCTCCCACATTTGCCAACCTTTGCTACAACAGTAATCAATTTGCTGTCTTGATCTCTCAAGCATATCATACATTTTTTGATCCATCATTAAGCCTCAAACTTGTGGCCTAATTAAATTACTGAAGAAAGACACTTTGGAATTCTAGACTTTGGTAGGAGAAAAATTAGAGATAAATATTTGAACAAGGTGAGAAAATTATGACCTAATCTTCATGCAGTCATTGATTCAAAATTGCTGTTCAAAATAAATTAATTTTTACTTGAATGCTTTAAAACAAAACAAAACAAAATGATGTCAAACCATTTTACAGCGTGGTAATTACATCCTAAATATAATATGTAGAAGAGAGAAACAGAAAAGGCTCCAGGGACAAGACAGCTCCACGTAACAGGTGTAAATAGATATGGAGTTGGTGTCTAAGAATCATCAAAAAGATCTTCTGGACTGTAGAAGTTACATGGGAAAACTGTGGAGGGATAGGAAAAAAAAAAAAAAAAAGCCTAGAGTTAGAGAAATGAAAGACAGAAAAAGGAATATAGATCAGAGAAAAGAAAAGTCAAGCTTGACACAGCCAATGAAATAATGAGCTAATGCTAAATTTTGTCAATGGGTATAAATTTCACTTGTTTCCTATGAATGATAAAAGCCAATGGAGAAATCAAATTATTTCTAGAATCAGGAGACAAGCAGTGCCATCTTGTACCAAAGAGGAGAGAGAGTAAACCTTTAGTTACAGCAAATAAAAAAAGTAGGTTTTACAAACAGACTCTTAAATACTGGTAGTTGCCAGAAGGGAAGTGAAGGAGGGGGGGATGGGTGAAATAGGTGAAGGGGATTAAGAGGTACAAACATCCAGTTATCAACTCACAGAAAGTATAGCATAGGGAATACAGTCAACAATACTGTAATAACGTTGTATGGTGACAGATGATAACTACACTTATCATGGGGAGCACTGAGTAATGTACAGAACTGTCAAACCACTATGTTGCACACCTGAAACTAATACAACATTGCATGTCAACTATACATCAATGTTTTAATAAAGTAGATTTTAGCAAGGCAAAAAACCCCATTAGGAGCGGCTAAGACGGTGAAAAACAGTCAGGGGGAACAGAGGATATTAGAAAGAATAAAGAAAAACAGGAATTAATTGTGTAAGCACTAAAAAACAGAAAGTAAATCACAGCATTTCTCTTTGCACAGAATGCCCTTCCAAAAATTACCACCAATTCAGACATAACCCCTACAAGAAGCCATAGTCCCATTAACAGGATTTCCCCTACCTCTGGGAGCCCACAGCACTCCATATATGTAAGGCTCTCGTGTGGTATTTGTGTAAGTTTATCTTGTAACCCAGTTAGCTGTAAATATTTCTACCCCATTCGATTGCAAACTACTTATGTCAGGCCTTTTCTTTAGTACAGTACCTAGGACTTCATGCCCTCGGCCCACGGCCCACCAGGATGCTCAATGGATAGCTGCTTTAAAGCTACCTGTCAGAAGCTTAAAAATACCAGTGCTAAGATTTCATTTCTCTCTCAAAAATCTAAATGATTACAGATCAGGGAGAGTGGAATTCTAGATATGGCAATATCTTGTTATATAAATTTAAGCCTGTATACCCATCTTGCTGAATTTTACCTTCTCTTAAGGTGGTAGGACTTGATAAGCATCCTCTCAGTGCTACAGTTCTAAGATGATGATTCTCCCTTCCCTGAATGCAAAGCATTTATTATCTGTGTCATTAATCTCGCAATGGATCATATAATGCCTTGTTGTATTTCTTCATCTTTTAAGTAATTCAAATTCATTTATGCCTCATCTTTCCCAACTGAAGTGCCTTGAATGGAGAAAAGGAACAAAATTTTCTCATCTCCCACACGCTAAGAACACAATAAAGATTCAATAAATATCTACCTACTTCACAAAACAAGAAAATGCTCCTTGGGCTGCAAATCCCCATCCTGAGGCCCCACTGCAAATTGCCTTTTAACTAGAAGTACATAGTTGGAAGGGAAGACTGATGAAGCCATCAGTTATATAACCGAGTTTACCGGACAAAAATATGACACAGAAGAATTCAAGGCTTCTGCTTGTTGATAACCTGCCAAAAGGAGCTCCCAGGAAGGGTGTTTTGTTTTGCAAGAATGAAAACCAACTGAGCAGGGGCATCTCCTAAATCAGCAATCAAAGGGGAAAACTTACCAGAGACTTCGTGTCCTTTGTTCACTGAGAGGCCCAAGGAGCAATTACCTGCTTTCGCCATGGTCATTACCATCACAAAGAATCAGGCAGTGTCCCAGGGTGGAAAGACAGTATTTGCCTTTACAAAATTTCCATTCGACTCCCAGCTCTAACACTAAACCTCTGTTTAAAATCATCCATATGATATGAAGTACTAATTCCTGCCTGGGATTAATTCAGGCAGCGTAAATGAAGAGTTCTCTATAAATTAGAATAATGTTTCAAAAAATCACGTGTTGCACTCAGAGTGCATGACACCACTGAAGTAGGTGGGGCTCACCTCGGTAATGGTGGCCAGTACAGGTAACTGACTTTCTCCAGGGCATCTGTGTTCTTACATGTGACTGTACTGATTTCTTTGGATCCCAGGATTTCCTTTGAGGAAAAGTCTCTAATTTAAGTACTCTGGGCCCTAACGGCTTCTTTTGAAACCTATCAAGTAACTGAAGAAACTATAGGGAGAGAAAAGACTATCTAAGGAGTAAGAATCTAGTGGGTAGAAACTGTCATGGCATGTGTTCTCCCAGGCGGGCCTGCTGAGCACCCTGATTCCTGGACAGATATTGTATGGAGAACAAGCTAAGGACTGTCACCTTTCAATCTGAGTGCCTATAGTAGGGTCTCTTTGGTTCAGAATTCTCAAAACAGATCATAGAAGTAGTCCAAACAAGAGAAAACATGTTGGGGTTAACAGAACATTCTTACTAGTGAAGACGTAAATTACTTTTTTATCTATGTGGATAAAAGTTACAAGGAACTGGAAAATTATGACAAAAACTATACTGAACATAATACAATTTTTTGATGATTCAGAAGGCAAGTTCACTGTCATGTCACTGTTTCAGAATCACTATACAGGTGATTTCATGGTACTTTCATTGCCTTCTGTTAAGGGTTTTATAAATTTCCCATTATCGAGGTCTCCAAAAATAAAACAAGCTGAGTCCTTATCATTGATTACAGTGCTTAACAATATGGTCAGTTTAATTAAAACTTCAGCTTTGTTGTTTCATTTCTTTGACTCCTGGACAGATGGTATATTACCATTTCTTAAACTATATTCCAGAAGAGACTCTGGAATAAAACCTTTAAACTAAATAATGAATCTAGGCAGCTCTGCATTGGAATAAGGTACTGTGGCTACTCTCTCAAAACTAAAATATCTTGGTGAAATAGTGAGAAAAAAGAAATTACTCTATCTCCTGGTACTTAAGAAGAGTGACCCCCTAACTTTCAGTGTAGAAGAAATGTGTTATTCAGTAATATCTACCATGTGTGCTGTAGTGCTTTACTCATATGATGGGAGCAACATCTACTCATTCTACAGCAAATTCATTCTAGGTATTCACTATCACATCACACAAATAGGGGTTCATTTACTAAATGAATGTGAATAGAACATTGCCCTGTTCTTTCACAACGTAAGACTAAACTTACAGAACTATATACGAAACTTGAACAAGATACATATGTAATTTTCTTAAGGAAAAAATTCTAACACTATGATAGTCCTCTTGAATGTCTCCTGTAGGAAGAAAAGGCAGGAACATTAAGGATTTAACAATACCCCGTTCTTTCTTATATTCCACCAGGAGTGGTTCCTCCGGTTCCAGCCTTGGCCAGAGATACAGCTCCTCCCCAAGGAGGGCACTATGGAATCAGTTTCAGAAAGAGAATATATCCCTGAGCTGGTTTACTTATTATTTTTGTTTTCAACAACAAAAAGCTGAAAACTGCAAAAAGCTATCAGAGAAGTCTGCTAAAATAAATGCAGAGTCCAAAAAAATCAGTGAACCATACCAATAAGGTTTATTCCTGGGATCATCTTGGTCTTAGCTGCTGTACAACAGACTGTAGCACAGAAAAAGATAGGCGTCCTGTCAGGACCTCTCCAAACAAAATATGGGGTGTGTATCTGCCCTTCCTCTGTAGCCATTTCTCTGTAGGAGAAAATTCCCTTTCTGGGGACACAAATGCAGATAAAACCTCTATTTGTTGGAAATAAAAAGAAACCCAGGGGTCAAGAGCACTTCTGCAAAACCACTGTGAGTCCTCCCTCATGAGATGATTCTCTACCTAATCTACCCCCAACCCATTAATCTTCACAGGGCCTCCCCTGCTTACATGAACCATACAGATACCTGTAAGAATGGCGGCTCCACACACATTGCAGACACTGCCTGCTTACCCAGGAGATTTTCCAATAACAGATGTGTAGTTTGTTTTTTGTTTTTTGGATTTTTTTTATTTGACAGAGATCACAAGTAGGCAGAGAGGCAGGCAGAGAGAGAGAGAGGAGGAAGCAGGCTCCCTGCTGAGCAGAAAGCCCCATGAGGGGCTCAATCCCAGGACCCTGAGATCATGACCTGAGCCGAAGGCAGAGGCCTAACCCACTGAGCCACCCAGGCGCCCCAACAGATGTGTAGTTTTTACTTTTAAAAAATGTACAGGGGCATCTGGGTGGCTCAGTGGGTTAAGCCTCTGCCTTTGGCTCAGGTCATGATCTCAGGGTCCTGGGACCGAGCCCCACATCAGGCTATCTGCTCAGCAGGGAGCCTGCTTTCTTCTCTCTTCCTCTGCCTGCCTCTCTGCCTACTTGTGATCCCTCTCTGTCAAATAAATAAATAAAATCTTTAAAAAAAATAAAAAATAAAAAGTGTACAGCACCAGCATATATATATATATATGTATATATATATATTCATACATACAAACATAAATACATACATACATACATATCATTTGGGGTAGTAAAACCACCCACATACAGACTAAACTATATATTCTAGGAACCACATCTACATTCAGCAGGTAACTATAAATCAGCTCTACATTTATCTATTATACACAGATTTAGGGTTTCTTAGAAGAAATCCAATTTAGTCATGGCATCAAATATGTGTTTTTACCCCCCCGAGAGAGTAATATAATTGAATTCTGTCCCTCATAGCAGATCAGTGCTGTTCATCTTTGTCTAGCAATGGTGTTTATAAAGCCCAGGGAAGGCAATACTGATACTTTCCCAGTACAAGCTACTAGTTAAATATCAGCTGAAGAGAATGAGTTCAACCAACCAGACAGCAACTCAGGCACCATGAAACTGGATTTGCGGAGGCTGGTGTGTGTGTTGAGGGGAAAGGGTAGAGGACTACCCTCAACCAGCAACCACCCTTGCCCTCAGCTGACATCACCTTTCCAGATGGCTTGTTCAACCCTTGC